CTTCTGCATGGCCTCCAATAGGGTGATTACCTACAAAGAAGGGTTGAAGAACACCCTCCCAGTTGCTTGATGGAACATGAGGTCGGTCATTCGCCATGTTTGTTCACACTTTCAGTGTTTTGATTTTTAAAATATGCTTGGGAATATGTTTCTTAAAATGTGAGAAACAGTGTTCTTTTAAAGAAGGAGTTTGGTTCGTTTCCTATAAAGTTGGGAATTGAAAGGTGATCCTTGTTTTGAGAGAAGAAAGAAAAAAATGGATTACTAAGTCAGTTGTTGTTACAAAGGGGGAAATATTACAACAGTGCCCCTAGGGCAGTTTTTATTTGTGTCCATTTGTTTTCATCCCTGGATAGCCTTCTGGTAATGGCAGCCGTCTGATATCTTCTGATGAATTGGGATCGGGCTTGGGTTTTCAGCTCTTGATCCAATTCAGCCTCATTTTTGGTATACTTCTCAAGCAGATGCTGTTCATTGGTAATTTGCTTATCCAGGGTAGACTGTTCTTTCCTCAGCTCCCGCAATTCTGCCTCCTTTTTCTGAATGGCATCATCAACCAGAGCTTTCGTGATATGAATCTTCAGGAGTAGTGCAATATGGACGGATCGTCGGAGTTAGTACTTTCGAGGCTGAAAATGGACCTTCTGGAAGGGTTCCGTCGAAAGGAAGGGCAGGCATGTATTGATTCGCCATAGTTAGAATGTTTTGGGATTGTGATTCACACAGGCTTGTATTGCGAAGATGGAAGTTTATCAGGCGTGTTTCAGTAACTGGTGCAGTTGCTAAGGGAGTTTTTCAAGAGGGTAGTGATTTATGAACTTCCAAACATTGATTGTTAAATGGCGTTTGAAAGTCCCTTGGCGGCGGGCAAGTTGTTACGTACGAAATTTAGAATTAGGTTAAAAGCCCAAGGTAAAAAAGAAGAATGGGCCTGGCAATAGGGTTGATTGAACTGGCTGAAGGACACCGTGAGGAAATCAAGGAAAATAAATTTATTTATTTATTTCTAAGGAAAATACAGGACGGAAGGTTCTCAGGTCGGTAGGTCCTCAGGACGGAAGGACTTCAGGTCGGTAGGTCCTCAGGACGGAAAGACCTCAGGTCGGAAGGTCTTCAGGTCAGTAGGTCCTTAAGACGGAAAGTCATTAGGACGGAAGGACCTCAGGTCGGTAGGTCCTCAAGACGGAAGGACCTCAGGTCGGAAGGTCTTCAGGTCGGTAGGTCTTCAAGACGGAAAGTCATTAGGACGGACGGACCTCAGGTCGGTAGGTCCTCAAGACGGAAGGACCTCAAGTCGGAAGGTTTTCAGGTCGGGAAGTCCTCAAGACGGAAAGACCTCAAGTCGGAAGGTTTTCAGGTCGGGAGGTCCTCAAGACGGAAAGACCTCAAGTCGGAAGGTTTTCAGGTCGGGAAGTCCTCAAGGCGGAAAGACCTCAAGTCGGAAGGTTTTCAGGTCGGGAAGTCCTCAAGGCGGAAAGACCTCAAGCCAGATGGTTCGCAAGTCGGGAGGATTGGCGGTCGGACCCATACTATTGTAGATTGGCAGTCGGGCCAAAAGAGCGGAAGGTCTGTGGTCGGCTCAAGGAGTGAAATATAGGGAATTTTTGGTCTGCTGGGGACACGTGTCAGCATAAGAAAGGTTGGAAGACGGTTGAGAAGGAGACGTTGTAACCGTTCGGGTGACGGTTTTCAGTACGGTTTCCCAGGGAATATTTAAGGATTTGGATCATCATTTGGCAAGGGATCTTCAATCAACTTCAACAAAGCAAAGTCAGATTTGGGGATCACCACTTTAAATTTCAGTCTTTTATTTTCCAGTTTATTTTCTGTACCATACAGTGTTTAGAGATTCCTAATCTCAGGCACTAATTAATCAAGTTTAAGGATATTTTCTATATCTTTGAATTTTACTTTATTTTTGTTGAAAAATTACATCAACAATTATAATATAAATATTTATATCTAATTTATAATCTATAAAAAAATATAAAATATAAAAATTAAAAAAAAAAGGACCAAAAAATTATATATATATTTTTTTTAAGAATGCTACAGTGTTCATCCAAAAATAAATAAACACGGTAGATTTCTCAAAAAAATGGAGAAAGAAATAACAGCCCTTAGAATGATTTTGCTCCTGCTATTTGATTTATTAAAATTTGACAATTTTTTTTTTTTAAAAAGTTATACTACCTCCGTCCCAAAAGTATAGTCTTATTGTGTTGGACACGAGATTTAAAAAAAATTGATATTATATTGGTAGTGGGTAAAAAAGTAATAATAAATGACTTTTTTGCCCTTGTGACTATATTAGTGTAAAAAGTAGTGTAATTGTGTAATAATAATAAAAAAATATCTATAGTTTTACGGTAATATGTTTATTTATGAAAATGAGATTATTGTTTTAGAACATGAAAAAATAGTAAACAAGTCTATTGTATTGAGATGAAGTGAGTATATATTTATTATCGAAAATATAAGAATTAAATGGTAAAAGATAGAAACCAAACTCCAACTATATATATGGAAAACCAAAGAAGCTTCAAAGATCAAAATCCAAACTGCAGCAGAAGATTTGTGCATTGAAGAGGTTAAACTCTTTGATATTAAAATTTTAGTTTATGTTGGGTTTGTTTCTTAGTCACCAAATTCAGGTTTCTACTATTTGAATTTTATGTTTTTTTTATAAAAAAAAAAAGAAAATATATATTTTTTTTCACAAAATATCATATTCTCTCTTGTTATGTAAATGTGTGCTTATTTGACCGGGCGCAAGTTTTAATAAAAATGAGTAATAATGGTTACTTTTTTCTTTTATAGTAAAAAAATGCACAAAAATGTAATAATTTTTTACTTAAAAAGGTAACGAAAATATTTTTCAATGACAATCTGAAAAGAAAAGTAAACATAGATTTAAATGATGGAGGAAGTATTATAAAAATTAAAAAAAAACCCACGTAGTGCGTAAATATGTGCATGGAGATAAGAAAAAAAAAAAAATAATAATAATAATAAATAAGTAAAATAGGGCTCATTCCTTCCAATGATCAGAAATAAATGAAATAAAATAAAATAAGTAACTAAACTCACTTAAAATGTAAATCGAGGAAAAGAAACCTCAAAAATAGGTTGTAAGAGTGTTGGTCCCTTTCATTATAAACGCAATTAAAGCGAAGCATATCCCACACCGGAATGTGACATAATTAATAATGATAATTAACACATCTGGGCATTCTCTGTGGGCCCCATCTTGACAGTTACTTTTCTTGCAACCTCAAATTACCCAAATTGTGGAGCCTACTCGTATGTAGACTATAGTATTATGGTGTAAGTAAATTTTATTTAAATAATACTCAATCCGTGCCGTTGAATGAACCGTTTTGTTAGAGATACGATTTTTTAGATAATATAAATGAGTAAGAGTATGTTTCTTTAGCTGAATTTTTTAAAATTTTATTATTTGAATTCTGTATTTTTTAAAAAATATATATATATTTTTTCGTCTCACAAAATATCTCATCAAATATGATTTTCATACCAAATCCAAACTAATTTTTTTTTTTTCAAACTCATCGAAAGAAATATACCCTAAGTTATTATTAACAAGTTATAATATTAGTTTATTATTTTTTATATAAGTATATTATTGGTATTTAAAAAAAATAGTATTATATCTCGAGAAAATATATACAATATGAATATCATTTTGTATAGAATAAAATTTTATGTAATAAAAATAAATAAAAAAATATTTTAATTTATTTATTATTACCATAAATTAGTTTTATAAAAAATGAGAAATTTTAAAGGTAGATAAAAAATTATGTTAAGTGACGAGAGAGATAGAAATAAAGGAATTTTGAGTGGATCCTACGCGCAAGATATTAGAAGATTAATTAAATCGATTTATATTTATCAAGTATGTTTAAAATTTATAAATTTACCAACAATGGAAAAATGTCATCTAAAGAGATTATCTATGGCGAGACAAAGAGAATAATATTTTTATTTAATACATGTAAATACAAGAATACATATTTAAACATAGATTAATATATATATTTTTTAATTTTTATAATTATATAAGAGAAATATATAAAAATATAAAATTGAAAGTAATTGTATTAGCCAATACTAATAAAATTATTTTGTTATTATTATATTATTTTTTAAATTTGTATTACATATAAATATGAGACTTACGTATAAGAAAACAAACAAAATTTAAATTCCGAATATATATATATATAAATATGAAAATAAAATCATTCGTACAAACAAACACACCCAAAATATGCAAAAAATAATTGTGCATGCCAGCCTTGAATCCAACGTATCGTCCAACCACAATTATCAATTATGGGCGTTTGGTCTCGAACGTGGGCAATGATTTGTCTCACGATCCGACGGCTGTGATGCGTCCATACATCGAGACAACTCACCATCGACGGTTGTTAGTCGAGGCCACGTTTCCACCAATCAAATTGCTCCATCGCGCCACCCTGGCAGACTTCCGCAAATCATGTCACCCTCTCATCATGCCCCCACCCTGCTGCATGCGATTTGACCGAATTGCCCTTCACCATTTCAAGGGGTGAAAATCTCTTTCGAAAACGAAACAAATAATAAATAAATATACAAATAAATAAAAGAATTTCCTTGATTTCAATTTGAGGTTTCATTTGACCAAACAAATTATTTAATTATTTTTAATGCAATTTGTGGCGTTATGCATCTAATTTTAAATTATTGCACGAAATTATGACCAAATGGAATGGGTATTTAGGAAACAATTATTAATTATTTTGACCATTAAGGAATTAAATATTAAATTACCATTCTGGACAATTGTCCAATTTTTTTCCAACTGCGGTTTTACGCCTTTTGGTAGTTATGAAGTAGCTGTCAGGGAGGGGTATTTTAGTCTTTTCAGTATGACGAGATAATTTATTTTTATTTGGTAAATAAATAAAAATCTGTACATGATATAACTCCCGCACAGTTAACACCATAGTTTATAGAGAACGGCATTCGAATTCCACTCAGAATCTGCTGTTTGCCTCTGCGAAATCTTGGCAGCATCGATCGATCCACCGGAGCTTCTGAGCGAGGTAGTTTCGTATGATTCCTTGCAATTTTCCTTGTTATTGATGCAGTGAATTTTTGGTGTTGTGATCACTCATATATGATGTTATGGTTTGAGGAGGAAGGAGGTTGAATTTATTGATGATCTCTGTTTTTTTCTCATTGTTTTGAGGTATTTTGTTTCGATTTAGCCTGTGGATGTTATGTTTTTCCTGATTGTTTCTTCCTATTGTTGTCTTCGGAAGTGTGATTGTGGAATTGGATGTGATTTAGCTTCGAGAATAGTGAAAACGCTTGTGTCTCGGATTTAGGAACTGTTTTTATTCATATATATCATATATGGGATTGGTGATTTGATCACTCGTATATATGGTTTGTGGCGTAAGGAAGTTGAATTTATTGATGATCTCTGTTTTTTGCTGATTGTTTTGAGGTATTCTGTTTGATTTAGCTTATGGAGGTTATTTTTCATGATTTCTTCGTATTAGGATTTTCGCAACTGTGATTGTGGAATTGGATGTGATTTAGCTTTAGAGAATAGTGAAACACTTGTGTTCAGGATTTAGGAACTGTTGTTATTCATATATTGGATTTTCGCCTATCTAATTTCCATGTGTGGATCCTGATTTAGTTCTTATTTGGTGCTAAGGATACTTCATTGTAATCTGATTGAAAATAGCATATATTCACCTTCGATTTTGTTTGGAATTTTTCCGTGTTTTCTATAAGGATAATGGAGTCTGCAGTTAGGGTTCCACCAGAGGAAGTAAAAATGGTTGATGGTGAGATAGAATTACATCAAGAGGGGGTAAATTTGAATGTGAACAAGGAGAGCATCAGCGACAGTCATGATCCAATTTCTGGTGGAAATGAAGTGAATGAGGATGGGATAACAGACAAAGAGGGGCAATCAAAAGCTGTATCCAAGAGCAAAACATCAAATCTGAGTAAAGATTCTGATAAGAACAGTAAAAGGGGCAAGAATCAATCTAGTTCAAAAGCATCATCTGCGTTTAGCCACAATGCAAAACCAGGATTGAGCCACAGTCTTTCGTTCCCCGCCAAAGGCCGCAGTCCTGACGTAATGAGAAGAAGCATTGAAGCTCATCAAAAGAATGGTGCAACGGTTGAGTCTCAAGTTTCGAATACAAAGGGGAGACTTCCGGGAGTGAAGTCGAAGGGAGTGGCAAGTTCTGGAAAGGCAACCAACAGGGCTTCAGTTTCAGCATCTTTGCCGAGCCTTCGTCGATCTGTGGTGACACTCTTTATCCATTCCTTTCCTTCATCCTTCCTTTTGATTATACTCTGCTCATGACATGTTTCTTGTTTAAAATCAGACTGGGAGACATGTTAATGCTGCAAATGAAGCAGACACTAACTCAGCTTCGGATGTGTACGTTGTTTCGAATTGTTTATCTTAATTGATGCATTCTTTAATTGCAGCTGAATTTTAGCTTGTGAATGCAGAATGGGCGGACAAAATGTCGAATCTCCCAACCCCGGATTGCCTGTTGAAGACGATGCCCGCTCTAATACTTCATCGTACTCTGTTTAACATTCCAATTATATATATTCATTTTCAGAATGGCTAATCTTCGAAAAGGAAGGCTAACAAACTTTACTTTGTTCAGAAACCTCACTTCCGGGGCACAGCAAAGAATTAATGCTTCGACATTCTCCTTCAGGTTGCAAGAGCGTGCCGAAAAGAGAAAGGAGGTAGACTGCATTTAACATACCTTATACTATTCCATTCGAATCTAAACCATAAATGGATCAATCAGTGACAAACATCTACCGTGATCATCAGTTCTTTTCAAAGATAGAACAGAAAGTGCAAGCGAAGGAACAAGAAAAAAACAATCTCCAAGCAAAATCAAAGGTGACTGCTAATTCAGTCTCGAGAAAGGCCAATACTTTCCTCGTTCTTGTTGTAGAGTTTGGTCACATTTGTAATGTGTTCGATTTGATTCTAGGAAAGCCAGGAGGCGGAGATTAAGCAACTGAGGAAGAGCTTGACGTTTAAAGCTACACCTATGCCGAGTTTCTACAAAGAACCTCCTTCAAAAGTTGAGCTGAAGAAGGTAAATCCCAATAATATTGCTTGTACACAAATAGCTTTTTAACTAATGAATTCAAATATGAATTGGGACTTATCGAATCAAAATTGCTCATAACACTACTGTTATTTGAAAAATCCGCACCATTTTCTCTCGTAATTTAGAAAATACATTAGGCTCGCTCCCTTTGTGTTAAGGAGAAAATGTTAGAACCTCATGCCTAAGGATAAGGTAATCGAATTGAACCTTATGAAGGAAATTGAGACGACGATAGAGATCATACTGAAAAAGAGAAGAATTAGAATTCCGTACTGGTACAAGTTTTATTTGAACGAAATGAAAAAAATGTGATCTTTATAGTCGAATAAAGTTTGTGCAATATTTTTTAAACTCTTAAAAGAGCCTCTCTCAGCTTCCAATATAAGAGTTTGAATTTTTGAATAGTAAAAAATTGAATTTGAATAGTTGTTTGATGTGATGTGAATAGATATTGGTATGATATGGAATTGTTTGATTTGAATAGTAAAATCTGTGGAAAAATAAAATTTACAGAAGAATACAACCATAGACTTTTCAACACTATTCAAAATGGTGTAGACTTTTCAAATTACGCAAATTATAAACAATTTTGCCCTATTTTTACGAGTAGTTAATTGATGTACCATTCGATATATGCAGATACCGATCACACGCCCGAAATCTCCCAAGCTCGGACGGCGCAAAGGCGCAGCCACAACAGTCATCAACACCCCTGAAAATCGAGGATCCGGTCACACCCCTCAAGCAGCAGCTAAAGACACATCTCCAAAACCCAACGTAAGTATCGAAAAGGGCAATGCTAATCCAAAGAAGTCTACAAAAAGCTCCCTCTCCAAACGAAACTCAAAAGACAATAATAGCAAGAACTCGGAAGAACACTGGCAGGCGGTGGCTCAGCCGCGCTGTTCGCCGGAACCCGAGGGAGGAAACAATTCTTGCAGCAATGGATCGAATCATGAAGCACAAGCACTGCCTGCTGAGGTATCTGTTGAAGGGTGAAAAGTGGTGGTGAGTGTAGAGTTTTTACTTTATTTGTTGTTTGATAAGTTTGGCATTTGCAGAAAATTAATTATCTGTGAAACTCGTTGAGATTTTTTTGTTGTCTTGATTTGTTGCATGCTGGAAGTGAAGTTTGATACATACATACAATACCATACATACGAGTTTTTATATATATATATATATATACTATTTATTGTGTACGTTGTATTTGGGTGATATGGTTTTGTAAATTCCTTGTATCCATCCTTGTGTGGTCTGCTTTATTGCCTTTTTTTTTTAAAAAAAAAATTATATAATCTATTAAAACCTTAATTTTCATATAAATCTCTCCCTTTTTAATATAAATATTATTTAAATAATATTTTGATATGATATTTTATAAAAATAAATATAATATGCTTGTATTTAATATGATTAAAAAAAATTGATTTGAAACACAATTCATTAGGGTTTGATACTGTTGCAATTTTTAATTTTAATTTGAATACATGATTGTTTAAATAATGTATTTATTGAAAAAAAAAGAAGAAAAAGTTATGTTTAAAGGAATTTTTAATGTAGAATAATTAAGGAAAGCACTCCCTTTATTTCATAATATTCATTTTTCTATTTTTCAATGTTCTTATTTAAAATTATTTTTATTATGCAAGTTTTTACTAATAAAAGAGACATAATAGCTAGAGCAAGGAGTAATATTTACTATGATATTTTATAAATATATATTTATTTACAAAATATAAAATTGAAATGATAAAAGATTATACGGTGTTTTACGAAAAAAATAAAAATTTATGCACAATATATTTATATTTTTTTAAAAAGCCTATTAATAAATAAATAATGTAGACTTGGAAATTTGCAAAAATATTTTCATAGTAAGTTAACAACTAAACAAACGCAAGTTATAGGGTCATTTTGTATTTATCAGAAATTGAAGAAGTTAATTGAAATTTTCTACAAATTTGATGAAGGTTTAGAACAGCTCCACTTTGGCGTCGCCGTTCCGTGAGCGAAGTTGCAGAGAGAGAGAGAGAGAAAGAGAGCCTGGCTTCTCCCAAATCCCCTGAGATTCTGTGTCTGCAACTCACTCTGCTTCTATTAACTTGGTGCCCAATCGAAATTTCCATCTCATGTTAATATGCTTCTGAATGTGCTTGATGATTCAAAATGTGTTTTTTGTTGTTTGCTTTGATGTCTGATTGCTTTGATTTTCTTTCTGAATGGAAAATTGATTGTGTAATTGGTAATGCGAAGGTGTAATAAGAGCTAATTTCCCTGAAAATTTAATGCGAGAGACGGGGCATCTTCGATCCAATGTTTATAATGTTTCGTCGTCTGTTTAAATGTTAAGTCGATATTGTATAAGCTTTGATTATCGCACAGTTTGGTGTTTTCTGACTTGCGGAGATTCTCTTAGTTCGAAGAGCTGTAGCTTTTTAGCTGATCTTCGGATTTGTTTTAATTAGGTTCCTAATAATTCTTATGCACGCAACATGTTCGACGAAATGTTTTCAGTAGTTTCGTTCAATTGAGATTGCGGTTTTGGTAAATAATATATATATATATATATATTGTCTTTTTTAACACAGTCGTTTGTCTCTATTCTACAATAACATGTTCATACCTTCTCACATAAAGATTTAAGTCACTTTCTGCTACTGTTTGCAGAAAATTTTGTAAATTTGGAATTATGGTAGGCTGGCAGCGACACTTGCAGGCATTGGTTCATCGAGCGGCGAAGAGATACGAATGTAGTCGCAATGCTTCGTTCAGCACATTCAGCCGTGGGAAAGCTCCTCTGGCATCTGGTACTTTTGTCGAAAATGTGTGAAGAAACTTCAGAATGTTCTTGCTTTGTTGTTGTTAGATTGATCATAGCAATGCATTAGGCTAACAGTCTTCTAATTTCATGGCGATGCACTAAAAAATGTGTTTCTAATATCAGCTGTATTGAGCATTTTGTTTTTATTTTTTACGGTTCGTTTTAATATCTCCGCAGGTGATGTCCCTTCTGTTTCCGGCTTGCGAAATTCACTATTTCCTGCTACCCGAAGCCCGCTCTATCTATATTTACAAAAACTGGTGATTCTTGAATGCTTCTCATTTGTCGTTTGAATTGAAATTTATGATAGAAACATTCCTATGAATTTTGTCAACTGCGATCTACACGATGTTTTACCAAAGTAGAAGAGATTTCATTCTTGTAGCATAATAAATTTTCTGAATGATTTAAGTGTAGCTATGTCTAAAATAAACACACCCTGTTGAAAGAAAAGAGATTTCTATGGTTATGAAAACTTTATTCTACAATCGAACTTTCTTAGTTTTCCGTAAATGAATCTATGGGTGTGCTCTTTAGGGATTTTGGTTTTGAGTTTGAGTTTTGAGTAGTAGAAGTTTTGAATTATGATAGTTGTTTGATGTGATAGTGATGCTTTTCATATAAAATTAATTTTTAATATAATACTTCTTCCGTCTGTCAAATTTAGAGATATTTCCTTTGTAAAAACCGGGAGTAAAAAGTAGAAATTGTGTTTGATAACTTTGATGTGATGTTTTTATGAGAACTCTTTTCATAAATAGTAAATTTTTTTAAAAGATCTCCAAACAAACACAACCTATAAGTTTGCTGGCATTGTGTGTCGAATCAGCTAATTATAGATGGTTCATCTGCTTGTTAAGTCATCTACTAAATTTTTAGTGGAATTACTTTTTTCCTTTTTTCTTCTTTTCTTTCTTTTTTTTTTTTAAAAAAATTTCACAGGGGTTCACCAGTTCAAGGCGCTTACTCGCGGACTCAGCTGAAGCTACTCCAGTATCTTCACCATTAATACCGGCCTTACCTTCAAGTGCCGGAGGCGCCGAGACTCAAAAGGCTATCATCAAGCCTAAAACAGTTCAAGCAGTTTTAAAGAAAATAAAACAGGTAAGAGTCCGATGCCAATTTCACTACTCGCATATTAAATAAGAAATTCCAAACATCACTCTTCGAAACCTGAAAAATAATGGCTTGAATTGTATACCTCCAGCCTCGTATTGATTTGTTGATTTTTATGGAGTTCTTATCTTATATCAATGCACTCAAAGTGTGTTTGTTTAGTGTTCATAGTTTTAAGTATTTTTGTTGTGAGGTATGAAAGAATTGTTTTATATATACATATTGTATTTTTTAGTAATACATTTTAGAATTGTGTACGGTAAACATACTAAGTGAACACACTCTCAGTTGTTAAAAAGAATAAAGTAGAGTTACATTGCAGTGCAAGGGACTTTTTTTTTCTTTGTATTGGAAATGTGTCGTCTAATCCTCTTTTTCTCTCAGAGTCCGAAGAAGTTAAATTTGGTTGCCGCATTGGTTCGAGGAATGCGCGTCGAAGATGCATTGTTGCAGTTGCAAGTCACAGTAAAGAGAGCCTCGAAAACTGTCTATCAGGTAGCTTCTCTGCTCTTTGGCTTCCTAATTAACAGTTATGCTAGCGTTAAACTCACCTATTGCTCGCTATTCAATTTCCAGGTTATACATTCAGCTCGGGCAAACGCAACTCATAATTATGGATTCGATCCGGACAAGCTTCTTGTTGGTATACACACTCATTTTGTCTTTCTTACCATCATCCTAGGATCCTGATTAGATAGAAGTTTTGAAAAAAATTGGAAAAAGTAAAAAGTCGAATATTTTATGCGATATTTTTAAAAAAAAACGTTACTATTGATAAATAATGCCGAAAATTCTAATGTATCTATGTAAAAGTGCCTATATATCATAATTGCGCGTGATTTTGTGGGGAAAAACATTACTCCCTCTGTCAGTCTGTTCCAAGAAAATGTCTTGTTGAGAGTGGGGACGGGTGGGTATAAAAGGATAATGTAAATGACCAAATTGCCCTTACTTTATTGGAAAAAGTAGATTGGAGTGATAGTTGAAGTGACATTTGTGTAAATATTGTAGAAAAATAGTAGTAGTTTTATTGTATAGTGGAGACGGAAAAAAATGAAAAAATAAGACAACTATTTCGGGAGAAAGTGAGTGTTTGATATGATTTTTTTGAAAAAATTCCTGCTGATAAATAGTGCTAAGTTTCAAAAGTATCTACGTAAACAGAGCTTATATATACCATAATTGTGCGATAACTTGAGCAATTGTTCTTTTGTCAGCCGAGGCGTTTGTCGGGAAGGGGCTGTTCAAAAAACGAGTATCATATCATGCCAAAGGTAAGTGTGGAATAAGAGTGAGGCCCGAGTGCCGGCTGACTGTGGTTCTCCGGGAAATAACTCCGGAAGAGGAGGCTGAGATTGCGAAACTTAAGGTGCACAATTTCCGTAAGCTCACTAAAAGAGAGACACGGCTTGTCCCGCATCAGCTCATAGAGACAACTCCCGTGTGGAATCGCAGTCGCAAGAGCAATCCGAGAAGCCACGACTCCGGTCCGATGGCTTCGTGATCGTCGACTCCGCCGCCGGAGCTCCGGTAACTTTCTGAAAGACTTCGTCTACTTCCTTTTTTTTTTTTTTTTTTTATTTATAATCAGCAGCATCAGCATCACACATTGCTCTCTACTTCTTTGCTATTTTATAAGTCACTGAAAAGATTTATATGTTTCTTACATTCCCAGATTTTTAGTTATTGAATATTACTTGCTATATTTTCTTTTAGGACTTGATATTTTACGAGAATAAATAAACATTAGATGCAATTGTTTTTTCGTTTTTTTAAAAATATCATTGATAAATAGTATAAAACTAAAAAAACTAAATATACTGTGGTTGTGGTTAGCAGCTTAAAAGTGCGCGAAGTCTCTGCTACTAAGTACCCAATTAGACCAACAACTTTGGGCATCATTATTATTTTCGATACGCTGGCGGCTATAGTGCTCACTGTGACAACACATGGTGTTACTATCGACAGCATATTATCTGCATTTATATAATACATATACAACACTAATAGTACATATTGTTATATAATACATTTATAATTATGAAACATATGAACTGACAATACATGCTATACAAAACACTATAATTATGAAGTAATATCACCTGTCACCATTTTTATGGGTGAAAAATCAGCACGGTGTTGTCTTCAGTGTCTTTCGGGTAACTTTGTCTCCTTTCCCGTCTCCGGTGCCGGTGCCGGTGACCCATTCCCCTTCCCTATGGCGCCCTAGCATGGTCCCGAAGAGAATATTTTGTATAAATTTATTTTATACATTTTTATTAAAATACAATGAATATTATATCCTCCTAATTTGCTAAGCTAATTATAATAGGTTAAGGTGACGTGTCATGTAGTATATAATAAACAAAAGAAATCCCACATTGGATGATTGCAACAGAACTGCCCGCACAGATCAAATTAACGAAACTTCCACGCAGCTTCCTCCCAAATCCATACATACATATAAACATACATTCCATATTTTCGCAATAAAAATAAAATAATAATAATAATAATAGTAATAATAATACTTCCTCTGCTCAAATCGATTAATGCAACAATGGCGGAGCTCTGCAGAGTGTTCTCCTCCCCGCCGCCGCCGCAGTTCTTCTTACAGAGGTGTACTACGAAATCGAGCCAACTGTTCGTCACTCCTCCCCGAGGAACCGTCAAGCGCCGCATTTTCTCGACCGTTTTCCACCTCCTCCGGACGCCGTTCGCCGCCTGTCGGCTACCGAACAACCGACGGCGCCTTCGACCTCGGTATATGTAAATTTATTAATTTCCTGTTTGGTTGAGAAATTGTTGCAAATTTATTGCGCACCTCAATGTTGTTCGAATTCTGTATTTGATTGAGTTAATGTTGATTGTTTCGATTTATTGAGTTTGAGCTGAATTTCGCCATTACATTTACACTAGAGCTGCTTTGTTGTAGTATTGATTTAGGACAGCAGAGTCGGTGTTTTGAATTTTTTTGGCGGTGCTGCTGTCGTTTTTAACGGTGGTTCTCATATTTTTTATATAATTTTTAATAAAAATATATTTCTATTTTCTATTTGATACGTAAATTAAAGTAAATTATTATATTGTAATAAATTAGTGCAATGTATATTTTGTTATTGCCATAAAAAAGTATGATTATTTTGGTATTTAGTTGATAATTAGTTTTACTTTAAAAAAAAAAAATTCTATCGTCCCATATTTATTTATCTATTTGCTTTATTGTTCGAAATTTTAGAAATATTAATATTATATTATAATATAATATAAATAAATCACTACAAGCAAATATAATTTTTATAACAAAGCTTTTTCGTCCTTAAATCTATTTTTTTCATTACTAACACTAGAGACGAAATTAGGGATGAAATTACGTTAGCTACGTGAACTTTAGGGACAAAATTTTGTTACTAATATACTCCCTCCGTCCTAGATACCGTGTCTGCTACACTGTAGACACAGTATTTTAGGAGGGTATAATTAGTAGATAATTAAGAATGTATTAGTGAAAATAATTATCCTATAATATAAATAATTATAAATTAAGATTAAGATAACTAATTAATTTAATTAAAATTAAAAAATTTAAAATGAGATTAAAGTGTTCAAAAAAATGAAAGTGACATGGTATATGGGACGGACAGAAACTACAACGTGGACATGGTATTTGGGACGGAGGAAGTACTATTTTTTTTTAGTGAAACTAATCTTATTAGTATTGTATGATATAAAAGTATTGACATTTATATAATATATTGTAAATTGAATTGATATTTGTAATGTAAAGTAGATAGTAAAATTATTAAAAATGGAAATAAATATTTTGTTATAAGACGGATTAAAATGAAAAATAGATAGTTTATTAAGGGGCGGAGAAAGTACGAAATTTTGCCTTATGACAAACTAAAGTGAAAAAAATGTGAAGTTTAATCCTCAGACGAAAGAAATATTAATATTTGTTTAGCGAAATTGTTTGAAATATATTTTTTAAATAAATAAAAATAAGGAGGGTGTAGTATATGCTCCCTTCATCCCTTAACAATCTATCAATTTTTTTTTATTTTGGTTCGTTTTATAAAAAATTATTCGCTTATGTTTTTAGCAATTGTATTATTTACCTAACATTACAAATACCCTTCTAATTTACAATATATTATACAAATGTCATTACTTTATATCAGTACAATACTAATAGGGTTAATTTAGTCTTTATTTTTATTTTATCCTAATGTAATACCAATATTTTTAAAACTCAGTGCAAAAAACAAATAAATATATAGATATGATACGGACTATTAAAAAACAACGGAAGCTGGACTAGTTTCTATGATGTCTGTCGGCTGCGGACACCAATTTTGCATTGCATGTTAAGAGAGTGGTGGGAAGGGAACTCCTGGGACCTCTCGGGACCTTCTCGTGTGAAAATGATGGGCCGAGAAAAGACCCATTTGAATTGGGCCTTTATTCGGTCTTTTGAACATGACCCACTTCAATGATTTATTCACATGAAGCTGTTATTCAGTTATTTTTGGACTCAATTTTGGCATTGTTCATCACAAATTTATCTCTCTAAAAAAATATTACATATATTCTTTTATTTAAAATAATATCATGTTAATATATAGGTGTTGATGTAATTTTTCAACAAAAATAAAGTAAAATTCAAAGATATAGAAAATATCCTTAAACTTGATTAATTAGTGCCTGAGATTAGGAATCTCTAAACACTGTATGGTACAGAAAATAAACTGGAAAATAAAAGACTGAAATTTAAAGTGGTGATCCCCAAATCTGACTTTGCTTTGTTGAAGTTGATTGAAGATCCCTTGCCAAATGATGATCCAAATCCTTAAATATTCCCTGGGAAACCGTACTGAAAACCGTCACCCGAACGGTTACAACGTCTCCTTCTCAACCGTCTTCCAACCTTTCTTATGCTGACACGTGTCCCCAGCAGACCAAAAATTCCCTATATTTCACTCCTTGAGCCGACCACAGACCTTCCGCTCTTTTGGCCCGACTGCCAATCTACAATAGTATGGGTCCGACCGCCAATCCTCCCGACTTGCGAACCATCTGGCTTGAGGTCTTTCCGCCTTGAGGACTTCCCGACCTGAAAACCTTCCGACTTGAGGTCTTTCCGCCTTGAGGACTTCCCGACCTGAAAACCTTCCGACTTGAGGTCTTTCCGTCTTGAGGACCTCCCGACCTGAAAACCTTCCGACTTGAGGTCTTTCCGTCTTGAGGACTTCCCGACCTGAAAACCTTCCGACTTGAGGTCCTTCCGTCTTGAGGACCTACCGACCTGAGGTCCGTCCGTCCTAATGACTTTCCGTCTTGAAGACCTACCGACCTGAAGACCTTCCGACCTGAGGTCCTTCCGTCTTGAGGACCTACCGACCTGAGGTCCTTCCGTCCTAATGACTTTCCGTCTTAAGGACCTACTGACCTGAAGACCTTCCGACCTGAGGTCTTTCCGTCCTGAGGACCTACCGACCTGAAGTCCTTCCGTCCTGAGGACCTACCGACCTGAGAACCTTCCGTCCTGTATTTTCCTTAGAAATAAATAAATAAATTTATTTTCCTTGATTTCCTCACGGTGTCCTTCAGCCAGTTCAATCAACCCTATTGCCAGGCCCATTCTTCTTTTTTACCTTGGGCTTTTAACCTAATTCTAAATTTCGTACGTAACAACTTGCCCGCCGCCAAGGGACTTTCAAACGCCATTTAACAATCAATGTTTGGAAGTTCATAAATCACTACCCTCTTGAAAAACTCCCTTAGCAACTGCACCAGTTACTGAAACACGCCTGATAAACTTCCATCTTCGCAATACAAGCCTGTGTGAATCACAATCCCAAAACATTCTAACTATGGCGAATCAATACATGCCTGCCCTTCCTTTCGACGGAACCCTTCCAGAAGGTCCATTTTCAGCCTCGAAAGTACTAACTCCGACGATCCGTCCATATTGCACTACTCCTGAAGATTCAAATCGGATGAGGGAAGTTTTGGAATCTCGCAACGCCTTGGCTATCAACAATCCCAACTACCAAGCAGTTCGCATCCGGGACAGCATCAAGACCCATCTCACAGACCCAAAAGATCTGTATCGCGCTTGGTATCGACGAGTAGCAGAACATTTCCAGACCCAATGGCGTTCCCAAAAAATCGACCAAGCAATATTGCTGTCCACCATGCCTATCAACCTGCATGAGAAGGTGTTATTGGCCATGTCTGCCTTCTGGAATGCGGAAAATGGGACTTTCCTCTTCCCATCAGGCCCCTTTGGCCCAACTCTTATGGACGTGGCCATGATCGCACATCTCCCAGTCGTGGGTGAAGACCCTGTAATGGGAGCCCTAGATGGGCAGGAGCCATCAGAAGACCATCCGGGATGGTCTTTACAAGGTGTGAAGGAATGGGGTTGGACAAAGTTCGCAACCGACCAGCAAGGGGCTCCAGGGACCCCTGTAACCGACCGGGAGCATACTGCCTTTATCCTGTTCTGGCTTTGTAGGTACGTCATTGTTTCCCCTTCCAAAAGTGTCCTTCCTTCTCACCTCGACCTGGCCATTCATATTGCGTCAGGTCGGTTCTTCTCCCTTGGCACCCTATTTTTAGCCAATCTGTTCGAAGGACTCACCAGGGTTAGCCTTCGTTTAACAGATAACGATAATAGGAAA